TAGTTTAAGTGAGATGTATACAGATCGATGATAGTATCTTGGATCTGATTGTTGTACTCTAATCTTGAACTCTTTCTTGGGTGATTTTTTGCGCACAGTAACAGACTCTTTTCCTCTAAGACCCTATATTAGGTATTGTTGAACTGGATGACCATATCTTTGTGTTGTGTTTACCTTTTGCTATGAGTTTGTGGTTCAATTTTTCACATTCTACCTATTTTTGTGCACGAAATCCTAACAGGTGGACAAAAGATCAAATTCTTTCATAACCCTTAAAAAACATACACAAACGTTAGTAATATTACCCCCCTAAAATTTGTAATATATTATATTGATTGCACCATATTGACGTGTACATTCATTATATGATTACGATTAACTCCGGTGGCTTAAAATTTTACCAATTTTTGTAAAATGGAACGTCGTGAGTCTATTTAGAAAATAAATGATGGATAATTGAAGGTATTTTGATACTTATGTAAAAAATCATGAAAATTCTCAATATAAATACGCCAATACCATTAAATTAGAATTATGCCACATTCCTTAAATCACGAGTTTATGTGTAGTTTGAGAAAAAAGAGTTTTGTATTAGGAGCTAAAAACACTCGTCACATGTGTAGTTTATTCTTCGTTGCAGTTGTACTGGATCAATTGCAGTTCTCTTCTTATTTTGCCATAAGTTTGCGGTGATATATTCGAAAATTGTATGGCTCGATGTTTCAAAGAAAAGAAAAAATGTTTGTTTGCATTTTAAAGCGACTTTTTGACACGATCAAACATACTTAATGAGGTTTATGCTAGAATTAATTAATAACAAATCTTGAAGAAACGTGTCCAAATCTGCATGTGTCGTAAGATTTGCCTGTTTTTGTTGGAACAAAGGTGTCATGACTCCAACCGAGCACATGTAACTCTATAAGTTAAAGTGAATTATTTAATTGTAAATAAATAAATACGACACATGGTGGTGCTTTTCTAAATAAGGCATTATCCAACTCATTATGTTTTTCATTCGGTTACCCACTTAAATTAGAGTGGACAATTCACCACTTTAATCTTGACTGAATAAATGATTTGACAATTCGTTTATTTTACAATTTTTTCACAAAAATATTCTACTCTCTACCTTTCACTAGTCTAAGAGCTTGTTTAGGATATTTGTGAAACATAATGTTTTTATATAGAACTCACAAATTTTACTTACTTTTTATCCATTCATTGTGTAAGATTCATTGTTAATAAACACTTAAAAGTAATATAAAAGAAGCGCTAATTCAATTATTATTTTTTTGAAAAGTAATTCAAAGTTATTTCACATCAAATTATTTTATTCTGTACAATTACATAAATAGATAATATTTGGCAA